CAATTAAAAGTAAACATTTTGCAACTTAATCTCAAAGATAATAATTATTTTTCCTGTAATAGATCACATCTCTCATTATCACCACCATCATTATTATTATCAAAATATTATTACTAGACATGTTTCTTCAAATAAGTCTATTATAATTTCCAAAAACTTCTCACATTTTTGCCTAATTATAATAAGTGAAATATGTTGTTTAAAAATATGTGAAATAAGCAAATCTGAATATGGGTTGAAAGTTAAAATTGTTGATTTTATAAATTGGGATAATGACATGGTTGGTACATAAAACATACTCTTTCAACTAGCAATGCATAATGAAGTGTGTATGAGTGAAATGAAACAATGTCTGAAATTTGCTTAAATACTAGTCCCTCCCTCAAAAAAAGTAAGGGTTTAAATGAAACAAGATAAGAAAAATATTAATAATTCTTGAAGCTGGATAATAGGTTCATGAGAATTTATTATTCTCTTCTTTTCTGTATGCCTTAGATTTTTCACAATAAAAAGTTTTTTTAAATGTCAGTGGAATAGTTTTAGCAGCTACCAATAAAGATATATTACAGAAACAAAAACACTGTCCTAGAGAAATCATACAGAATGACACCTTCTAAGCAGTAGAATTTTTTCTCAGTACTCTATTTTAACAAGTACATCTTGTTAAAATGTAAAACATCTCTGGCTTTTGAGTTATCTCCCTTCATTTGGACCTCTCACACATTATTCTCCTTTTTAATAACAGTTCATGTCACTGCATGAGTGCTAGAAGTGGGTCAAGAACCACAGTGGAAATCATTTCTTAAATCTCAGTATATCTTAATGCTGCTTATCATATTTTTATATTTTTACATATAGTGTTGGCTCATAGCGATCGCGGAGAAGGCAATGGCAACCCACTCCAGTACTCTTGCCTGGAAAATCCCATGGACAGAGGAGCCTCGTAGGCTGCAGTCCATGGGGTCGCTAAGAGTCGGACACAACTGAGCGGCTTCAGTTTCACTTTTCACTTTCATGCATTGGAGAAGGAAATGGCAACCCACTCGAGTAGAAAGATGGTAACGATAACCCTATATGCAAAACAGAAAAAGAGACACAGATGTATAGAACAGACTTTTGGACTCTGTGGGAGAAGGTGAGGGTGGGATGTTTCAAGAGAACAGCATCGAAACATGTATATTATCTAGGGTCTAACAGATCACTAGCCCAGGTTGGATGCATGAGACAAGTGCTCGGGCCTGGTGCACTGGGAAGACTCAGAGGGATCGGGTGGGGAGGGAGGTGGGAGGGGGGATCGGGATGGGGAATACATGTAAAGCCATGGCTAATTCATGTCAATGTATGACAAAAACCACTACAATATTGTAAAGTAATTAGCCTCCAACTAGTAAAAATAAAGGGGAAAAAAAAACTCAACATTCAGAAAATGAAGATCATGGCATCTGGAATAGAAGGGGAAAGTGGAAGCAGTGACAGCTTTTATTTTCTTGGGCTCCAAAATCACTGCAGATGGTAACGACAGCTATGAATTTAAAAGACACTTACTCCTTGGAAAAAAAGCTATGACAAAGCTAGACAGTATTCTCTAAAGCAGAGACATCACTTTGCTGACAAAGTCAAAGCTATGGTTTTTCCAGTAGTCATGTACAGATGTGAGAGCTGGACCGTAAAGAAGGCTGAGTTCTAAAATTGTGGTGCTAGAGAAGACTCTTGAGAGTCCCTTGGACTGCAAAGAGATTCAACTAGTCAATCCTAAAGGAAATCAGATCTAAATATTCATTGGAAGGACTGATGATGAAGCTAACACTCCAATACTTGGGCCACCTGATGTGAAGAGTGACTCCCTGGAAAAGACCCTGATGCTGGGGAAGATTGAAGGTAAAAGGAGAAGGGGATGGCAGAGGATGAGATGGTTAGATAGCATCACCAACTCAATAAACATGAATTTGAGCAGACTCTGGAAGATAGTGAAGGACAGGGAAGGCTGGCATGCTGCAGTCCTGGCGTGCTGCTGTGACCATGGGGTCACAAAGAGTCGGACACAACTTAGCAACTGATCAACAACAAATATAAAGGTATGTACATATCTTATATTTTAAATATATAACATTTATGAAAAGTATATTTTATATAAGTATATTGTATATTTATTAAATTGTTATAGATTTTTTAAAGCTATATGTTTTTAAATAAGTCAGTATTCCCATCAGTTACAAATAGAAGTAAAGATTCATTCACACAACTGTGGTCAATGTCGGTATGCAAATAACTGCTCCTACCGTGCTATATCCTGTAACATTTCTCATTGCCAGAGCTGAGGACAAAGTTTGAGAGACCATTAAGATAGAATGGAATGATATTTCTCCTGTGTTATTTCAGTTTTGGTCTTCTACCACAGATTTGGGATATAAGGCAGATAGAAATATATCATTATAAAAGATGAAAAATCTTGCTCAAGAAAATCTCTCATCACTTCCAAAGTGGCATGAGATTTCTGCTTATGTATGGCAAGCCTCGTCTTTGTTAGTAGAGGGCCCTGTCCTGGAGTCTCTCTTAAACTAGTTAGTCTGTTTTAGTGGCAGATTTGCCATGCATGATCTGCAAATACAATGGAATTTGAGACCATCAAGCTTGTTTGATTCTTCCACATCCTTGTGATCCTTACTCAGCTCTGAACTCTTGACTGTATGACCCAGCCTTGCCTATACCTCCATAAAGTGAAAGTGAAGTCACTCAGTTGTGTCCAACTCTTTGGGACCCTGTGGACTGTAGCCCACCAGGCTTTTCCATCCATGGGATTCTCCAGGCAAGAAAACTGGAGTGGGTTGCCATTTCCTTCTGCAGGGGATCTTCCTGACCCAGGGATCGAACCCAGGTCTCCCGCATTGCGGGTGGACGCTTTAACCTCTGAGCCACTGGGGAATCTCCCTGTTCCTCCATAGATCTTGACATTTGTAAGATCCCTCCCTACTGTTTGTTCCTTCGACTTCTCTCAACACACCTTGTTTTATCATGCTTTCAGTTATTCCCCTCTGCCTTTGCCTTGCTGTAATAAATTGTACACCACCACTCCTAGTTTTTCTAGCCTCTCTGCTTTCAGGCCACTCTCCCAGCCACTCTGACCCCAACCCAGTAGAGAGGAACATGGGTATCTGATGCTCCCAAGGCTACAGACTTACGAAGGCTCATCCACCAGCTCTAAACCAGTGATTCTCACAGCCATATCACTTTGACAAGAATTTATAAAATAAATTCTGATGATATGTATTTTCTAGGGTGTTTTTACCATCACCTTGGCCAGAAGGAAAGGATGTGGGCTTCATTTACAGTTGTGGGGACAATGAAGCACCTTTAGAATTTGGTGCATTTCAAAGGTATGACTTTCGTCTCACCCACTAAGTTCAGATATTGCTTCCTGGTAATCAGGAAAATGAGTAGAACTTAAACCTGAAGCTAAAAACAAAAGTTTCATTTGAGTCAATAGTTTTTAACATTGTCATAACCAAATACTACACTAAAAAAGTTGACCAGATTTTTTTTTGTTTGTTTAATTAGAATTTTACTTCTTTCCCCCCAGTTTGCATTCAAACATTGTGTAACTTAAAATCCTTTCTTTTCAGCTATTCACTTTTCCATGAAACATGTTCACCTAATGACTCTGTTCAACTCAGCAAACATTTGGTAGGCATCAATTATTTTCAAAATATTATAAATGCAAAATGAGTCATAGTAAGCTCTTGACTGTTTACTCTGTTCAAGGTACAACAATTGCCATATATTATTTTATTTAATTCTCATAACAACATTATGAGACAGAGGGGATGCTATTTTCAGCTGCCAAACTAAAAATTACCTGTAAAATTATAAAACCTTAGACATTGAAATTTAGATATATTCTAAAGTATTGTCAAAATATATTTATCAAACTGATGAATGACATGTGAAACACAAAGAGGCAAATATGTAACCTTAGAGGCAAATGTGCAGAAGACTCCTGCCCATTTACTTAGACTTTGAATTCATGAACAGTCTTTGCCATTGATGTCCTACTATAGGCATTTCATTGTTTGTTAGCATTTCTGCCAGGAGTTGGAAAGGTGTGAGGATAGGGGAAAAAATAAAAGGAGAAAATAGAATTCAGTATTTTTCCACAGCTACACTCTGGTGAGAAGTTTGTTAGGGATAATTGGAAATGACAGATTCAACTAAGATTTTGAATTCCCGTAGTCCTTGAGATTCAGATTTACATACTGAATTTGAAATTGAACTAGAAAGCATTCACATTTTTTGACCACTTGTAAACGCTAAAGGCTTCCTGTGCATTATCCCATTTAGTAATTACAACTATATGACATAGTATTCATATACCAATTTTGCAGATAAAGAACCAAGATTCATAAAGTTAAAGTAATATGTGCAACTTATCAAACTTGTGATGACTTGGAGTAGGGTAGCAGAGCAGCCTCAATGAAATATTGAGATTTGAAGTCAGGTAGATATGGGTTCAAATTAGAGCTCTGATATATTTCTGCTGTGTAAACTTGGACCAGTTCCTTAACAAGCTTGAACTCTGCTTCTCTAAGTAACTATAATACTATTACATAGGCTTGCTGTAATAATGAACTGATCTCACATATGTTGCAGTCAACGGTGTGGCAAAGAGTCAGACACAACTTCGCGACTGAACAACAGATGCTCAATAAATGATAGCTCTTCAAATGCCCACCCATTGTGATTACTGTAACTAGGGAAAATGCAGGCCTGCCTCAGTTGAGCCCAGGATCTTCCTCAGATGGCAATCACTATGCCCTAAAGAAAGATGTAAAGAATGACAAAAAAGAGAGTAAAATTTATGTGAGGAGAGGATAAAGGTAGGAGAAAACTAAGCAGGGCCAGAAAGAACTGTTCATATTAAATGATACCAAATCAGGAATTCTTTGGTTTTTAAACAGCATAAACCACATTTTTTAATGAGTTTATTGGCAAGATATGGGATGAAATAGCTCACAGAATCAAAGGAAACTTGAATAACTAGCTTCTTGCAGGACAGAGAAGGTAGGGAAGGCAAGACCCGTCATTTGGCTGGTTGAATAGTCTCTTCAGGACATGACCATAGAAATGAAGTCTCCAACTATTTCTTTCCTTAAGACACTCTCGAAGATTCAAAGTCCTAAGAGAGATTGTGAGTTAGCCTACCTTGTATCACATACTTGCCCCCTTGGTTAAAAGAGTCCAGTCACCTTGAATGATAGTTTCAAATGATAGGTTGTATTGGGAGGCAGGGTTTACCAGGGAAAGTGGGGGTCCTGAAAGAGAAGGAGTAAGGAAGTCTGAGTCAGCAAAAACCACAGTGTCCGTGACAGTATTTGTGGGTGATGCGAGAAATGGTACAGGAGAATACCCAATTCTGGGCAAATCTCTTTTATCCCATTGATCAGAATACTTTACAAGTGTTCTTTTATCTTTGACCCCCATGACATTATGAACTCCTTGCAGGCAGGGGGCTGCTTTGAATATTTGTCCTCAGTACTTGTCACATAGGGAGTTCTCCTGCAAGTCTTAGACTCACAAAAAGGTTTCCATTTCACCATGCAATAAAGTTTCAGTAGAACCATTATGGGTTAGGTCCCATAAACAAAGGAAGAATACTAATTTGTATGAATCCTGCATAAAGATGATTAAATTCAGAATTAGATGATGCATCAAATTAGTTAAAAGTTCAGTTTTCAGTCTTTAGAATCTGTGAGTAATGTAGCAAACAAGAGTGATAAACTTTATTGTGTACTTTGACATGTGCAGCAATAGACTTATTCCTGGCTAGTTGGTTTTTAAAAAACTCAAAATATCATTTAAAAATTAAATAAGATACATAAAGATTATGGCCCTTCACATCCATCCCTGACTGGGCAATGATGTAATTTATCTGATACCACAACCCAACAACCTACAATTCTGAATGGTTTTCTCACAGGAGCTTGTGTGTATATTGATTTAGCCAACCTCTTACCAGGTTCCCTTAGTGAGTAAGGATATATTTCAAAGGCTTAGAGATATAGTCTAAAACCTTGAAATGTAGTCTAAAATATGGCCCTTAAAACCCAAACTCATGTTTATTAGCATTGAACACTAGCAATTAATAACAGCCTTGGTGGTATTTGTTTTGATAAAACCTGAAATAAATTAAGTTTTAGGGTCAGAGTTTAAAGAAAAGTTATGGAAGAGTCTTAGAACTGTTATGATTATTTTTATTTCAAATAATTAATTGCAAGTGACCTTTAAATTTTATGTAACTAAGTAATGAGTCAATTTTTCTAAGAAACTAGAATTTTTTGTTCAACTGTAGATGATATGTAATGAGCTTGGGGATGTATCTTTGCTTCTCTGTTGTTGGTGTATTTCCACCATGACTCCAAGATGTACAGGGCAATACTTTCGAAACTAGAAAATAGGAAGGAAGCTCTCCCTTTTATGTCACCAAGCAGGATTGCTAACAATCTTCCAGAACCCATCCAAGTATCATTTTTCATCTTCTGAAAACACAATCATTGATATTTTGTAAATATTTCCTCCTTAGAAGAAAGCAGTTGTTCACTGGAAGTAGAGACATTCACTTTAACATGGAAAAGTCCAATTAATTAAGGCTTCCCTGGTGGCTCAGACGGGAAAGCTTCTGTCTGCAATGCAGGAGACCTGGATTCGATCCAATTAATTAACAAAACATCAACTAGTAGGTTTCCACGATGTCAATGATGAAGCTAAAAGTCATTAGCCCTTATCATAAAGTTGTCAATAAAAGGATTGTGTGATATAGGACAAAAAGGGAAGTGTTCAAATAGCGGTATTATCACCTTGGATTCTAAGGGGGCTGTAAAATACTAGAGGGCTATCAAATACTCCTGTTACCTTATGCCTCCCCTTCCAAGTGTGAAGCAGATAACAAGAGTGGTCCTCTCTCTTAACTGATTGCAAGCCTGCAGCAAAATGGTCAATTGACTTACCTGGGCTAATAAAATCACTTCTAAACTAACTGTAACATCATAAACCTTTACTATCAGCAATGGTAAATTTTATGTGTCAGCCTGGCCCAGTTTTTTGGCCAAAGTGAAGTGAAAGTCACTCAGTCATGTCCAACTCTTTGTGACCCCATGGACTATACAGTCCATGGAATTCTCCAGGCCAGAATACTGAAGTGCGTAACCTTTTCCTTCTCCCAACCCAGGACTTAACATAATCAGTAGGCCTTGAGTAAAGCAAGTTACCCTCCTAATGTGAGTGAGTTTTATCCAATCAGCTGAGAGCCTTAAGAGCAAGGACTGAATGGAAGGACTCCTTTTCAAGACAGCAACATAGAAACCCTCCTGAATCTCCATACTGCTTCTTGGTGAAATTCCGACTCAAAGTTATAACATCAACTCTTATCTCAATTTCCAGACTGCTGGCTTGCTCCTCACAATCACAAGAGCCAATCCAGCTATATATATATAAATGTAAATATTGTAAATATTTGTAAAAATATGTAAATACATACATGTAAATAATTGAATGTATAAATTTTAGACATATATAATCTTAATGTGAAATATGTATTATATATATATATGTATGTATATATCCTATTGGTCTGCTTCTCTGGAGAACCCTGACTAATACACTATCTTTGAGTGTTTCCAAAGTTTTCATGAATGGAAGTCAAGTGACTCTTAAATTTAAATAGCTAAAGCAGATGATTTTTTTTCTGATTTCATATTTTATAAATCTATAAATAGCACCACATTTTCTCTCACTTCCTTATTTATAAAACCCACAAATGGCTTTCCAACCCCCAACATCTTTAGCATGGCCCACAAGGCCCTGTGTTTTCTGCCCCCAGACAGAAGGTTCATCTCACAAGATAACCAGCATGAAGCATTTACCAAATCGCTTCCTTCTCTTGGGCGTGAACAGTCAATGGAAAAAACAATGCCCTAGTCTGTGCCCTTGTGAACACAGAATTAAAACAGCTGGGAATAGATGCTTTTAATAGTTTCTAAGTGTCTAAGTAGATTGTTCTAGCCTGTACTAGATATTTCTGCCCAGACAACTGGGGTCTACCCTCCATATCAGATTACTTTCTACTCTGAGGACTGCTGGCTGCCTAGTGAGAAGGTTTTAACCATTGGCGCTCATATCTTCAAACTCACTTTCTATAACTCCAGCTGTTTTCACAATACAACGTTTCCCTAGATGTGATACAATACTTACTGTCCTGTTTTTCTAGGGTATACACCCTGGTCACTTTGATGCAATTTGAAAAACACTCTGGTGCCTATAAATAAATAGAGAAGATGCCTTGCTCTCATTTGTTGTTGTTGTTTAGTTGCTCAGTGGTGTCTGATTCTTTTGCAGCCCCATGGACTGTAGCCCACCAGACTCCTCTGTCCATGGAATTTCCCAGGTAAGAATACTGGAGTGGATTACCATTTCCTTCTCCAGGGGATCTTCCCAACCCGGGGATTGAACCTGCGACTCCTACATTGGCAGGCAGATTCTTTACCACTGAGACACCCAGGATGCCCCTTGGTCCCATTAGCAACACATTTAAAAATATCTCTTTGGTTACTGCCGTAGAGGGTGTATCTACTTTGGCTCTATTATTTTTTTCAGTGTGAGTGGAAAACGTTTCCTGACACAGTCCCTACAATCTGAGAATAATGTTCCCATTTGGCATCTGAGGTTCCTGTGCACTACTTAAGCTGTCCTATTCCTGAGTAATCTGGCCATGTGATTTGTCCCTGTGTCTGAGTTATTCAGCATCCTAGTCCTAAACCTAGTAATCCTCTGTTGTCAACATGTTGGAAAGAACTTGGGATATTCCATTCCCACCCTTCACTAAGCATTGTACACTGTTTACCTTTTGAGACAGTAATAAAATGTCCCACAACAGAAGCAGAAATCTGTAGAAATTTCCCAACGAAAGATTAGTCATAAAATGAGTGTGTAGAAAGTTGGGCTGCATGAAAGTCCAACAGGGTGTTTATACCACTATACTTCAGGGTCACATGATGCTGCCCACCACCACCAAACCATGACAACAGCAGTGAGGAAAAGGAACAAGAAAAGGGGGATAAACCGCACATAATTCTAATCAATTATAATCGCAGGAGGAAACTTTGACCTGATTATGTGACTGTATTAAATATATCAACAGAAGGAAGAAGGTCTATATAAGACGTAGTAAAAGAGAAGTAAAAAGTAAGAAGTGGTCAGTGTATCTCACGCATCATCCGAAGGGGAAATGCCTTAAACTTTGGACTTGGAAATTTCATTCCTTTAGGCAGAAAATAAAGATAAAAATGTATACCATATAGTTCCTAGTCTGGGGAAGAAAACATTCTAAGCACTCTAACTCATTTGATATGCATAGCAGGCTATAAATAGGAAGTATTATTATCCATATTTTCATATAAGAAAACTGAGGGACAAAACTTGCATTTATGTCACTTGCCCAAAGCCAAGAGTGGAGATGGACTTGAGTCTAGAGAGTCTGACCCCAGGATCTGCTGTCTAATATTAGAATATATTAAAAGGTGAAAAGACTGCTTCACTTTCTCTTTGAGAAGAGTAAACTAGCATTGTTGAGTACCTGCTTATTGCTGAGGACTGTGCCAACAGTTTTACGTACATTGTGCTGGAAACAATCATATGAGTCAAACCATCTAATCCTCATTTTACAGAAGCAGAAACTAGGCCTCAGGGAGGTCCCTGTAGAAACAAGTACTTTCTAGGGGATCACTGAGAACTTGTGAAAATCAAAGATAGTGTGTCTGCTCCCTTTCACTCATCTTGAAACCAAGCAACAAACAAATTTTATGTTAAACAGGCCTTGATGAGAAATGCAATCTTGAGACTGTGGTCCATTTGTTAATCTAATACAAACCACTGGACCAGTTGATAAAACAGACACACATACACACCACACACACACAAACACACACACACACACACACACACACACACACACACACACACATACCACCACCACCACCACCACCATGTGCAAGAAACAAAAACAGGAAATTCAGTTTGGCCGTCTTCTGAACTGATCAAATTGAGTTGAGCATGACTCAACTTTAATAGACCTCTTTCTACTGATCATGTGAGTCAACACAGAGTGTTCTGTTTAACAGAAAAAATAGTCTACAGAACTTAACACATTTAGAATCCTTACAATTGTTTGGTTAGCTCTGTAAAGACTCATTGAGATGTAGGAAGGAAGATCCAAAGTTACAATAGAAGTCAAAGCCAAAACTTAGATCACCACCCATAA